GTCACCAAAGCCTAGAGAGAAGAGCTGGAACAACTGAAAAGTTGTGTGATTTGGTTTTCTTTTTTTCCTGTAAGAAATAATTCTGTCTTTTCTTTGCTGTCATTCATGCCCTGCATGCACGTGACCACTGGTTTTATGAATGAAAAAAAATATCTGAATTCAAAAGATTGCACAAAATTAACAGATGATCAATGTCTGAAAATTTGTGCAGGGTGTGCATTATTCATTAATTGCCTTTTCATTTGATTATTCACCAAGAACTATTAATTATTTCCCTCTTTAAAAAAGGCTTCAATGAGCTAATCAAGATGAGAGGGGGGTAAATATCATATGTCTTAGGAGAGCAATAGTGTACACTATGAACCAGAGATGAATTGGAAATAGCCAAAATGGAAAACAATTGAACACCTACAGCTACTGTTTGTGAAGTGTCTAAAAATATCTGGGCAGTCACAGAAATCAGGAATTGTTCCCAAATATAAAAAGTGTTTACCAGAAAATGGTGCATAATGAGCAATCTAACCAGCTATTCAGCAGTGATCCAAGGAATTCTCTGATTCAGAAAATGGCAATTTCAGCAAAGAGGTGTTTGAAAACTGAGCAAGGCTATTTTGACAAGGAATATCATCAGAAACAAGCAGAATTTAGTATAAACTTATCTAAGAGTTTTTTAAATCTCAGCTGTCCTGGGTGTCTGAGAATGAGGGGAGAGATTTGCTTCTGACAGAGGGAAAAGGTGGTTGTGGAGGCATCCAGAAGCTGATTCTAATCACCATTTTAATTAAAGAGGAGCAAGTTCTTGACACTGCATATCTCCTAGGCTTCCCTGGCACAACCAGCCGCTCCTTTCTCCCATTTCCATCAATTCCATCAGGGCAAGGATTCTCCCAGAGCCACGAGGAGACCAAGGGGGAGGGCAGGAGGCAGGGACAGGGCTCTTTTCATTCCAGACTGAAGCTTTTTATAAACTTCAAATAGTGCAGCTTTTCCTCCAGCTCCTCAGGAACAACCTTATTCCAAGTGTCTGCACATAGCCATAATTCACATCATTCCATAAAACCTCATTTCCAGAGCTATAAACAGAGTTGGCTCTTTTTTATTATTTTTTTAAGTTAACAGAACTAATCCTAATGTGTCTAATGATACAAGATCTAATGAAAAACCATTATTGCTGCAACACAGCATTTGCATTTTCTTGCAGACAATACTTATCAGGTTGATAATAACATTTTATGCTGGGAAATAAAATAAAAAAAAGGCTTTCCTAAAGTAAAAAAAAAAAAAAAAAACAACTATAATCTTCTATAATTCTGTACAGAAGACTGTACCAAGGAAATTCTCCTTGGCAAACTAAGCTATGATTAAAGGTAGTCACTGGTACTTGTGATCATTTCCTAACCTTGAGATTGAATTGTCCTCTAAACTGAGTTTTCTGGTAACCTAGTAGTTTATGGTTAAGACAAATCTTGGTGGCAATCCAAAGTCTTCCTGAAACACACACGTGGCTCCCTTTCCCCAACAGATAATTGAATTCACATACAAGTTTTCTGTGTTATCTCTGCAAAAATTAAATTCACCATGAAAATGTGCACAAAGGACTGTGAGTTTCATACACACACAAAATAGCAAAGAGGTTGCTCCATAAAAAATATTTTCTCTCCAAACTATAGTACACTGAATATTAAGAGATTGGCAAAGGACCATAATATTCTGGCATTTCCAGAATCAAGCTCCTATGCTCTTCCAACATTTATAACTTCTTCTAAATTGGCCAGAAATGCTTTTCATTTCACTGACAAACACTGTAACTCTTCCTTGCAAAATTATCATGACAAGATACCAGCACAGGAATCCTCTGTGTTCCTAACCACAGGATCCTCTTTGTTCCTAACCACAGTGGCAATGTTTCATGGAAAAATGAAATTATTTCACTTGCCTGCCCAAAACCATCCCAAACCAGCACTTCCTAATGGCAGTCAGACCAATAGGATTTTTTTATCACTGATAAAATCCATTTTTCTGCAGGACATGGCTGATGTTAGGATATGAGAGCTCTCCAACAGACTTTCCAGGGAATTCTGATCCCTCCTTAGTGAACAGCCAGGGATTGAACATGTCCAGTGTCAAGGTCATGGGAGTTTGAGGCTGTGTCTCTGCTCAGATGGATTCCCACAGGACAAAAGGAAAAATCTCCCATCTGAGAAGCTGATGGAAGGCCTGAAGCAGCTGAGCTGACAAGGTAAAGCACCCCAACAATACTTACAGAAAAACATAATTAAGATTGCTTTAAAATTTCTCTCTAGTGTCGCTTTATATCAAATTATTTAAACATCTATTTTGTCACTATTTGCACTCAAATTCCTCTTTTCCCTCCCCTATTTTCTCTTCCTATCAGCCACATCTCCCATCATGTGGAACTTCAGGAGTCAGGCCAGGTGAAATGAGGAGAGTGCACACTGCATCCCACTAATTCACATTCCATTTCCCAGAGCAGAGCTCTTGGTGCCCTCCCAGCAGAGGCTCTTCCCTGCAGAGGGGTAATTGCCATCATTCTCTCTCTGCTTACTCTCATATTAAAAGAAATAAATGTGTCAGAGCTACTTGGCTCACCGTGCCAAGGACAAGAGAAAAATCTGAGAGGATATAAAGGTCTTATTAAACATTATGGTCATCTTTGTGTTTGCCTGCCCAGATGATGGAGGGAAG